CAAACTTTTTTCTGGTCCAGTTTTGCTGCAGATGTTCTTTTTTTCTTTTAATTCATTCGCCAGGTTTGGGGATACGCTGGCTACATTTAAAAAGCTCAACTAACCTGCTGCAAACTGCCCCCTGCGTGGGCAGGGCTCTCGGGCGTGAGGCGCGCTGACCCGCGTGGCTGACGAGGCGCTGGGTGAAATGGTGGGGTGCAGTGGGGTTCTCACCTGGGAAATATGGGGGACACCTGGAGGGGCATGATGACCGAGGTGAGGCGGGACATGGGTGGCTAAATATCCCACCCGGGGAGGAATCGGCTCTGCCCCCAATGCCACCTGTGCCCAGTGAGAAACACCGACCTAAAATAATCTGCCTGGTGAAGCTTAAATCCTAACCCACTGGACCTTCTCCTACTGTCCTACAGCCTCCGCCTGCGAGAGGAGGGAGGCCCCCAGTGCAATCACTCATTCACTCACTCATTCATTCATTCACTCTCATTCACAATGCATTCATTCATTCACTCATTTACTTGCTCACTCGTTCATTCACTCACTCATTCATTCATTCACTCATTTGTTCATTCACCATTCACTTGTTCACTCATTCATTTATTCACTCACTCATTCATTTACTCATTCACTCACTCATTCACACACGCATTCATTTGCTCATTCACACATGCATTCATTCATTCACTCATTTACTTGCTCATTCATTAGTTCACTCATTCATTCATTCACTCACTCGTTCACTCACTCATTTGTTCATTCACTCACTCGTTCACTCATTCATTCATTCACTCATTTGTTCATTCATCATTCACTTATTCACTCACTCATTCATTTATTCACTCACTCATTCATTCACCATTCATTTATTCACTCACTCACTCACTCACTCCATTCATTCACTCGCTCACTCATTCCTTCATTCATTCACTCGCTCACTCATTCCATAACCCTCACCATCATTTACATCCCACCTATGCCTCCATCCCCTGAGCTGCTCTGGGACTTCACCACCATCTGAGGGCCCTTCTCCAGCTCATCCTGCTCACCTGCCCCTCTTTTCGCTCCCTTTTCCCAGGGGCTTTCCCACCATATTTCTTTCTAGACCTTTTCCCTAAATCAGGCAACTCATTCCCCTCCTTCCTTGCCCCTCCTCTATACCATCCCACACACTTCTCCTGCAGGTCCCTGGCGCACGCACTCACGGATTTAATGTCAGTGCCAACGCTCACGGTGCTCACGGCGCTCACGGCCTCTGTGAAGGTCCGACTTGCGCCGGTCACCACCGACCATCGAGGGGAGGCAACGCAAAACCTAACATTTGCTTTAAGCCACCACAGCCTCTGTTTCCAAAAGTTGAGGGACTTACTGGTTAGCAACATACTTTTTCTGAACGCCAGGTCCCAGTTTTTGGAAATTCAGGACAATGGGCGTCTCTCCAACTGGAATCGCCTGGCGCGGCTACGTCCATGTGCCCACACCTGCGGCCTCCACCAGGCGTTCCCGAGAGACCGAGTCACAGGGTGGGAACGGGGCTTCGTGAGCCGCCGCCCAAACCACCGGGCACTTCAGCCTGAAGAGGAGCGGCCCTGCCGGTGCTTCTCGGGGGAAAATAAGAATCCAACCCGGACGGGCCCGACCCTGAGGTCCAGCAGCCAGGCCCGCGGCGGCCCCAGAGCGCCCCCCTGCACCCCGAGCTGCTGCAGCTCCGCTCAGATGCCGCCAGATAACGCCCAGCTCGGGCTTATCAGCTCGGGCGATGCGGGCAGATAGCAGCACTTCCTGCAACTGCTGACGAGATAGCGCATCCGCTGCACCAGCTGCCCGCCTCCAGGCAGCCCGGCCCAGCTTCTCCCTCCACCTTCCACGGTGGAAACCGGCCACCCCCTCCCCCCAGGCTGCCGGGCCGCAGCCGCCTCCACCCTCAGCAAGGCCTCCGTATCCTGTCAGAAACCTGACAACGAAGGTGAGATCTGACACTGAGTAACCAACCAGACATACAGGAAACCCTCTTGCCACGCCCCCTTCTGTCCTCCATCTCAGACCCGGTGAAGGGCTTTTTACTTAGAATTCTTGGAGCAAAAAAGAAAATTTGTTTTTCCACACTTAACCATTTCTCTGGGTTCCAATGAGGGGGGAAATAAAGATTTCTTTCTACTTTTCTTGAGTTTTTTTCCATCTTGGCCAGGGCGAGTGAAACCCTGGTCCAGCTCCTAGAAGGGAAGGACCAGGTGAGCTCACAGCTCTGAGAAGCCACCTGCTCCCACCGTGGGTGCGATTCGGCTGCGGGGAGGAGGCCCGATGTGACCTGGGCCCAGCGCGGGCGGGC